ACAAATATGCAAAAGTTGAGAAAATTAGAAAGGGGGCAAATACTTTTTCATAGCACTGTAAGCCCGGAGAAATCGGTAAATCTGAAGGATCTATTTGAGCAAATGGGAAAGATGAATACGACTTTGTTGGGTGTTGCATCCGATGTCTCCATGATAAAACTACAACTTCCGAGATAAAGGAAAAAGTTGATGCGATACAAGAGAGGATGAATGGGGCAGAGGGACGGATTTCGACAGGAGTGGATGCCGTCTCCCATCTGTAGAAGGGTTATGAGAATCACGAGAAAAAGCTGGACATACTGTGGAATTGTGTCGAAGAACTTGAGAACAGAAGTAGGAGAAATACGGTGAGATTGGTCCATCTGAAAGAGGGGAGTGAGGCTGGTGGTGGACTAATCTTGTGTGTGCAGAAAATCATCGCAGAAGGATTTGGATTCGACGACAGGCACGAATTCGAAATGTAACGAACCCATCGCAGCTTAAACATGCCTGACGGGAATGGGCCCCCGAGAATGGTTCTCATCCACTTCGTACAATCTACACCCCGGGACAAGGTACTTAAAGCGGCAAAAGAAAAGGGTGGCGTTCAGTGGGAAGGCCGCCGGCTGTCTTTTTCCCTGGACCTGTCCAAGGAACTGGCAATGAAGAGGAAGAAGTTTACAATGGCGAAGAAACAACTGCACGAGAAGAACGTCAGGCACACACTGCCATTCCCAGCGACCCTGCTCTTTACTTGGAAGGGAAATACAATTATATTCAAGGACAACGTGGAGGCAGAGAGATTATTGCGAGAGCAAGGTGTTTAGCCTAGATTAAGAAGACGGGACAAGGTCAAATACAAGTTGAATTGTACGCCGTTTACAACACAAATGAAGGTAGCCTATTTGTTTAGCCTTTCAAGCACCTCACAGACCATGAGGAATTTTGAGTTGAGACTGCAGGTTATCCTCTGACAGTTATGTGATGATTGATTCATCGAGAAGCAACGTTACGTTCGTAGTTGCTTTGTTTTATTTGGGGATTGTTTTTCTACGTTTATTTACACTGTTTTATTTCTACAGCAGGAGCATATATTGTAAAATGTTATATAACCTCGACTAACCTGTACCCCCTCACATTGACTCGGTATCGGTACCCCCTGTATATACTGTAGCCTCGTTATTGTTATTTTATTGAGTTACTTTAGTTTATTTAGTAAATCTTTTCTTAACTCTTTCTTGAACTGCATTGTTGGTTAAGGGCTTGTAAGTAAGCATTTCACGGTAAGGTCTACACCTGTTGTATTCGGCGCATGTGACAAATAACATTTGATTTGATTTGATGTTCATTAGAGTTGTAACGTGTTAACTGGGACACTTTATGCTCACAGGCTATAACTACTCAGAGCAAATGTGGCTAATGGTTATGGAAACATAATCTCTTGGAACATACTGTAAATGGTTGTGGTAACCAAGTTAAAAAGATTTTGACATAGCGGATATTATGTTAGTACAGGAATAACATTTAACAGATACAGAGGTACTGTAAGGCTGGTTTGCAGAAGTTTATCATAGCTCATTTAATTCCAAACAAAATGGGGTGATCATTCTGATAAGCAAAATACTTAATTTTGTAATGTTAAGCAACACTGAGTTTGGCAGGCTTATCTGCATTGAAGCTCTTATAAATGGGATTAAGATAGTGTTATGCAACATATATGCTCCCAACAAGGAGGACCTTGAAGTCAACGTTATACTGGGAAATATGGAGGGGCAGATCGTCCTTGCTGGTGACTTTAACCAAGTGACGGACAATATGATTGATAGAAGTAAATGTACATGTAACTCCACTCCAAAAGATAGACTTGCAATATATATGCTACCAGAAGATATGGGCCTTACAGACATGGAGATTAGTCCATCCTAATGGATATACTTTTTTCTCCCACAGTCATAAGACACACTCCAGAATAGATTTCTTCTTGATATCTAATTTCATGGTTAATAATGTGATTGATTGCAAGATTGGGCCAATCGCCCTCACAGATCATGCTATAGTAGAGTTACATGTTGATATAAACTCCAAAAATGTAAGGAAGGGTAGATTTAGACTCAAATTTTATTTGCCACATGCACCGAATACAACAGGTGTAGACATCACAGTGAAATGCTTACTTACAAGCCCTTAACCAACAATGCATATTTTAAAATAAAATAAAGTGTTAAGTAAAAAAATAAAAGCAAATAACTAAAGAGCAGCAGTAAAATAAAATAACAGTAGGGAGGCTATTTACAGGGGGGTACCGGTGCTGACTCAACACCATTACAAGATTAGATATTTAGCCAATCACTAGCAAATGATCTTAGATCCTTTTTTGAGATCAACATAGGCTCAACTGAAAGGATTTCCACAGTATGGGAAACCTCTAAAGCATATATTAGAGGGAAAATAATAACAAATGCGTCCAAAAAGAAGAGAGAAGGGGCTGAAGCAATACAAATAATAGAAACCCAGATATGTGTCTTGGAAAGGGATTTGGCAAGACATTTCACAGATAGCACGTTTCAAACTGCATGCAAACTGAGACTTCAGTTGCACTAAATGTATAACAAAAAGGGCAGAATATGCACTGTTTAGGCTTAGAACCAGTTTTTATGAGGGAGGTGAGAAGACAGGCCGGCTACTAGCAAGACAACTAAAAATGCAGAACACTTCTAATGTAATCCCAGCAATTAAGAAGGGCAATAAGGTGGTGACTTTATCCAAAGAGATCAACAGTGTGTTTCAATGTTTTTATGAAGATGTATATACACTACCAGTCAAAAGTTTGGACACACCTACTCATTCAAGGGTTTTTCTTTTTTTTACTATTTTTTACATTGTAGAATGATAGTGAAGATATCAAAACTATGGAATAACACATATGGAATCATGTAGTACCCAAAAAAGTGTTAAACAAATAAAAATACATTTGATATTTGAGATTCTTCAAATAGCCCCCCTTTGCCTTGATGACAGCTTTGCACACTCTTGGCATTCTCTCAACCAGCTTCACCTGGAATGCTTTTCCAACAGTCTTGAAGGAGTTCCCACATATGCTGAGCACTTGTTGGCTGCTTTTCCTTCACTCCGCCGTCTGACTCATCCCAAACCATCTCAATTGGGATGTGTCCTTTTTTTTGTCTTTCTAGAAGCACAAGGCAGGGTTGCTAGCTTTCCCCTCTCCTTTTTACCATAGTTTTAGAGCCTCTTGCAACAATGATAAGAACAGATCCAGAAATTAGGAGTGTCCATGGAGGAGGAAAAGAACACAAGCTGCTTATGTATGCAGACGATATTCTACTGCTGGTCTCTGTGAAACTGGAATCAATTCCAGTTTCACAGAGAATATGTCTCTTGGGAGATAGAGCAGAGTTACCTAATGTAACAAATTAGTATTTTGCACTGATCACTGTTGGTATCACTACAGCAGCTAGAGTAATCCTTGGAATTTGGAAGGGTCATGCTACTCCTGCTCTGAAAGTGGATAGAATCAATGTTGGAGGTAGCATCTTATGAACAAATGCTTGCTAGCATCACTGGTAGAAACGACAATTCTAGAAGCTGGATGCATTTTATTTGTCATGTTGTTTCTAAGACTGTGAGGTGATGACTTCTGCTTGTGAACCGATTTAGTTCTGTATTGTAGCTTGTGAGATACTATGTGACTGTGAATGTGTGCTATGTTGGAGGATATGTCTGGATGTCATGCTTAATGTTTTAATGCTGTACAATATTTTATTTAAAACATTTTTGGCTTTGTTTATTTGTTTGTTTGTTGAAAAAATAAATACAACTTGAATAACAAAAAAAAAATGCTGAGTTAGAAAGGATTACCTAAACATACTGAGCAGCTCATGTTATAGACAGAAGCGAGCTACATGGCAGACCAATCCAAACACATCTCTCAGCATGTCCAGCCCATCCATTAGCTCAGCCAATCATGGCTAGTGGGAAGGTTCCTGTATTTTTCTGTGGCTAAAACAACTAGGCTCGTAATTTAACAATTTTATTTGTTTTTACATTTGGCATACAAGTTTGTTATTAAAGCACATGAAAGTTCACATGTTCCAGAAGACATTTCTGGCAAAAGAAAATCATTTTTATTTTTTAAAAATGTTTACATTCAAATGCCTCTCCTGTAAGGTAGCGACGCGCGACATACACCTAGTTTCTTGAAACAAGTCACATTAATTTTTTCTATGGAGGAAATTACAGTAATTGGAGCTAATTCGAGGTTTTTATTGTTTATAGAAAATTATTTGGCGGGCCATCTAAGTGGTAATTTTCAGGATGGAAAAACTGTTTGTGTCAACTTAAACGACCAAAACCAGATATAAAGCATGCAGAAAAGATAAGGAACTATATCTATTTTTAAATAGTACCATCTTTGAGAACTAACAATCAAATAAAAGCTAGACAGTCAGGGAGAATCTAAAATTCCAAAAACCGGGCATTCAGGGCACATGCCCATTGATTTTGTTATAATGTTTGAGCAGAGGAACACATAATTAGCCATGGCAATATGCATAGAATTGCAGAAAAGTAGCTTTAAAACTGCCAAATTGTCTCTCAGCTCCATGCCAAACTGTGTAGAATTGCTTTCAGCTCAATTGAAAATTGCATAGATTTGCAGATAATTTGCTTTACAACAGCAAAATGTTCTATACGCCGCCAAGATACCTTTCTAGCTAATAGACTATGTTAAAGTTTACACTTCCTCTTCCAATGAACTTTGGGGAGGTCAAAATAATGAAACTGTCTACCAAATCTATTAATGTTAAAATGTTGATTACTTCTACTTGCCTTTATCCTTCACCTGATGATAAGACAGATGTTAATTTGTTTTGTGCTACATATGATGGAGGTCCCTGGGTCACAGGTTTGCCTGGGCGGGGGACCCCGGGCAAGAAAAGTTTGAAAACCCCTGCCTTAGGGTTAGACTAGAGTAATATGTTGATTATGTGCTACAGTGAGAGGCTATGCAAAAGTTCTCTGTTAATGTTCCTCTCCAGGACATTGCTACCATGCAGCTGTGTGCCAACAAGCTGGACAAGAAGGACTTCTTTGGGAAGTCTGACCCCTTCCTGGTCTTCTACCGAAGTAATGAGGATGGAACGTGAGTGTTCCTGCCGAGGGAACATCCAATGTCTAGTTCCATCTGTGTTTTCAATATTCTACCACAGTTTGTCATGTACTTGGAGTGTTCTAGCTCTGAGTATCCCATGTTCTTGGGATTCTCTCAACGCTTGTGATATTTCCTAGTTTCAGAGGTATGTACATTGTGAGTTCCTCTCTGTAACTTTCTCTACTACTCTGTTCCAGGTTCACTATCTGTCATAAGACAGAGGTGGTTAAGAACACACTGAACCCTGTTTGGCAGCCCTTCACCATCGCAGTGAGGGCCCTGTGCAATGGGGACTATGACAGGTTAGAGAAAGACACTGTCTGGGGGGGGAGCCAATGGGGAACCTCTACAGCAGGGTTTCCCAAACTTGATGACTTGGTTATTTGAATCAGCTGTGTAGTGCTAGGGCAAAAAAACAAAACGTGCACCCAGGGGAGGCCCCAGGACTGAGTTTGGGAAACCCGGCTCTACAGTGCAGAGCCAGATGATGACGCCACCTGTCAGTCACTGGGGCATTCAGAATAATTCCAGCAGTCGGCCGTGGTGTCCCAGGGGCCAGCACTGGTGTTATTGGAATTGACTCAGAGTATTTACACCACATCTCACACCAATCAATGTCAACGATGCTGACGGAGTCTCTGTGAGTCAGTGTTGTGTTGACAGGACAGTAGCCTAACTCTCTTGGACATGTAGAGTAAGTAGGTCTATGGTGGTTGTGTCTAAGGTCATGTTGAACAAGTTAAATACGTTTCTTGAATTGTTTTTTCTGCTTCCCTACCAGAACGGTTAAAGTGGATGTGTATGACTGGGACAGAGATGGAAGGTACTTTTTTGTGCGCTTTTTGATGAACACATGAATGTCTGTAAGGCTTTGTGAATGTGTGTCAAACCTTCAGTTATTCTTCCCTTCAGCCATGATTTCATCGGTGAGTTCACCACAAGTTACAGAGATTTCTCACGTGGACAAAACCAGTTTAATGTCTATGAGGTGAGCCACAAATGTTTGTTAATTTTCAATTGTAAATACACTGAGTATACCAAACATTAGGAACACCTTCCTAATATTGAGTTGCTGGCCCATGTTGACTCCAATGCTTCCCACAGTTGTGTCAAGTTGGATGGATGTCCTTTGGGTGGTGGACCATTCTTGATACACACAGGAAACTGTTGAGCATGAAAAACCAGCAGTGTTGCAGTTCTTGACACAAACCGGTGCGCCTGGCACCTACTACCATACCCCGTTCAAAGGCACTTAAATATTTTGGCACCCTCTGAATGGCACACATACACAATCCATGTCTCAATTGTCTCAAAGATTAAAAATCATTTTTTTAACCTGTCTCCTCAACTTCATCTACACTGATTGAAGTGGATTTAACAAGTGACATCAATAAGGGATCATAGCTTTCACCTGGATTCACCTGGTCAGTCTATGTCATGTTTTGTATACTCAGTATACATATATACTGTATGTGATTACTATTATCAGGCATATCCTTTCAGTTGTCAAGTTTATGTTGCACCTTGAATAGATATGTACATCCACATACACATTATGCACAGTATTTACCACAAGCATCTTCAGTTCATATTGCTTTAATAATTTACTGTAATCGTTTTCTTATCCATTCTTTTATTTTCCACAAACCAGGTTCTAAATCCAAAAAAGAAGGGCAAGAAAAAGAAATACGTAAACTCCGGCACGGTAAGTACCTTCCTCATATCTGCCTGTCAGCTTCACCATTGTATTGATTTATAGGGGTAATTATTGTTATCATACTTTCCTTCTCCCCATCCCCCCACCCTCACTACGGTCACCAGGTAACACTGCTGTCCTTCAAAGTGGAGTCAGAGTATACGTTTGTGGATTTCATCCGAGGCGGGTGAGTGGAATGTTAATTAGCCCAGTGTTAATTAGGCCCATCGCTATGTGGATAAAGGGCTTGCGAACCCCCCTGACTAAAGTTCTTGGACATGGAGCTATTTGCATCATATTCACACTGCTCCACACTGCTACATATAACCAGTTAGTCAATTGGGCCCATAGGACCAGGGCCAGAGTAATATAACTACTCAATAAACTATTGATCAAAGTCCTGGTTGAATAGGTTTGGTCCTCTCGGACGCCAGTATTCTAATTTGGATCAAGTTTATCTATTTTATGTCCTGTCTTTCCCAACAGGACACAACTCAACTTCACAGTAGCCATCGACTTCACTGCTTCTAATGGTAAATCTGGAGCTTAGGGCTGTCATAGGCCAAATCAAAAATATATTTATGCACATATTATATAACACAGTGGGATAGGTCACGACAGGAATCCGCAGTGAGCGGACATTCATTTATCTTCATTTCAGTTGTGTCTCTATGTGTGTTTGTCTGTGCTCTCTGACAGGTAATCCGTCTCAGCCCACCTCCCTCCACTACATGAACCCGTACCAGATGAACGCCTACGCCATGGCACTCAAAGCTGTGGGGGAGATCATCCAGGACTATGACAGTGACAAGCTTTTCCCAGCCTATGGCTTCGGAGCCAAGCTGCCCCCCGACGGAAAGATCTCCCATGCCTTCCCTCTGGTTAGACACACACACAAACACACACAAACACAAACACTGCTACTAGACACACTCTGCTACATCCAAACCCAGAAGTAAATACACATCTTTTGTATCAGATTGGAGTAAGATACCTCTAGCTATTTCTCAGATTCTTTCTCATACAGATTCTTTCTCATACTTTCTCAATGTGGAACTGGTAAGGGATGTAATTTACCCGCTGGAAGGTGCCTAGGTGCCTTACTTTGGTGCACACCGAGCAGGAGGAGACATACACCCTCACATCCTTACCCAAGGTAGGCCACCGGTACTTCTGGTCAGGCAGCGCACTGTACGGCCGATGCCTGGGTGACCGGAGGAGGGGGACGTGTGTGCCCAATAGAAAAGACGATCACGGACAATAGACGGCATATACCGCAGCCCAGCTGGGCACTGAGGTGGAGATGGCTCTGTGCGTAACGCCCGCTCTATGTCCACGTCCACAGCCCACACTACCGGCGCCACAATGCAGGAGGCCGGGAGTATGGGGGTGTTGTCTATTGGCCTCTCCTCTGTGTCATACAGCCGTGACAATGTGTCTGCCTTCACGTTCTTTGTGCCTGGTATGTAGGACAGCGTGAAATCAAACCGGGTGAAGAAAAAGGCTCACCTGGCCTGGCGAGGGTTCAGCCTCCTCGCTGCCCGGATGTACTCCAGGTCACGGTGGTCAGTCCAGACGAGGAAAGGGTGTTTTGCCCCCTCGAGCCAGTGCCTCCATGTGGTCAGGGATCTGACAACAGCCAACAGCTCCCGATCACCAGCGTCATAGTTCTGCTCCGCTGGGCTGAGCTTCTTAGAGAAGAAGGCACAGGGGCGGAGCTTGGATGGCGTGCCCGAGCGTTGGGATAGGACAGCGCCTACCCCTACCTCAGACGCATCCACCTCCACTACAAACGGCAATGATGGATCGGAATGGGCCAGTACCGGGGCTGAGGTGAACAGAGCCCTCAGGTTACTGAAATCCCTGTCAGCCTCAGCAGATCAGCGGATCAGGGATGGCCCACCCTTCAACAGAGAGGTGATGGGAACTGCGACCTTGCCAAAGCCCCGGATAAACCTCCGATAGTAATTGGCAAAGCCAATTAAGCGCTGCACCTTCTTCACCGTGGTTGGAGTCGGCCAATTACGCACGGCTGAAATGCAGTCTCCCTCCATCTCCACAACTGAGGGAGTGATGTGGTATCCGAGGAAAGAGACAGACTGTTGGAAGTCCAGACACTTTTCTGCCTTGGCATATAGTTCATGCTCCAACAGTTGGCCCAGGACTCTGCGAACCAGGGACACATGCTCGGCGTGCATTGCGGAATACACTAGAATGTCATCGATGTAGACCACCACACTGCGACCAAGCATGTCCCGAAACACCTCGTTCACAAAGGACTGGAAGACTGATGGAGCATTCATCAACCCGTACGGCATCACCAGGTATTCATAATGCCCCGTGGTTGTGCCAAATGCTGTCTTCCACTCATCCCCTTCCTGGACACGTACAAGGTTGTACGCACTCCTGAGATCTAATTTCGTGAAGAAGCGCGCCCCATGCATTGATTCGATAACAGAGGAGATGAGGGGTAGAGGGTAACTATAGTGAATGGTAGTTTGATTAAGTGTACAGTAATCAATGGAAGGCCACAGACCTCCGTCTTTCTTCTTCACGAAAAAGGAGGCGGGTGAAGTGGAGGGACGAATGAACCCCTGGCGCAGGGACTCGGAGACGTATAGTTGAAGTCGGAAGTTTACATACACTTAGGTTGGAGTCATTAAAACTTGTTTTTCAACCACTCCACAAATTTCTTGTTAACAAACTATAGTTTTGGCAAGTCGGTTAGGACATCTACTTTGTGCATGACACAAGTAATTTTTCCAACAATTCAAAAGAAATCAGCCAAGACCTCCATAAATTGTAGACCTCCACAAGTCTGGTTCATCCTTGGGAGCAATTTCCAAACGCCTGAAGGTACCACGTTCATCTGTACAAACAATAGGACGCAAGTATAAACACCATGGGACCACACAGCTGTCACACCACTCAGGAAGGAGACACGTTCTGTCTCCTAGAGAAGAACGTACTTTGGTGCGAAAAGTGCAAATCAATCCCAGAACAACAGCAAAGGACCTTGTGAAGATGCTGGAGGAAACAGGTACAAAAGTATCTATATCCGGCAGGCTAGCTCCCTTTGGACGTCCTCACGCAGGCTGCATCGGAAGTGGTTGATGAGGGCCCGCTCGTTCCACCCGGACCCTGCCGCTAGAGTTGTAATCTCCAGGGGAAAGTCTTGCACGGTTCAGATGGACCAGACGCTCGCCCGCCTCTCTTCCTTCGGGGGGATGATCGAAAACTGCTCGGAAGAGACGAGCAAACTCCCCGTAGTTGTCCAACGCGTCTCCTCCTTCACTCCAGGGCTTTCCCCGAGAGGCAGGAGATGAGGGTGGACACCTTCTCCCAATTCAATGAAGCTGGGCTGATGGTGGAAAAATAGAGGTCCAGCTGCAGAAGGAAACCCTGGCAGCGGGCCGATGTCCCATCGTATTCCCTCGGTCGAGACAGGTGAATACCTCTGGGCGATGAGGTGTGGGTGGCTGGATCTGGTCAATCAGCTGGTTCCATAGGGTTGGGTCCTCTCCTCTCCAGGCACTGGACGACCTGGAGAACCCGATCCATCGCTTTGTCCAAGCTGGCTATCATGTTGGCATGCTCCCAGACCCGCTCAACAACTCCAGGCATATAGTCCGCTCCTGCTGACTCCATGCTGTTGGGTGTGTGATTCTGTAGCGGTGATTTGGACGGAGTCAGGCGCAGGAGGGGTAATTCACAGAATAAATGGTTTATTCGGCAAATACAGCGGTACACAGCAAATGCATAAAACACTACAGTGCGGTATAACAGTGCACTGGAGAAAACAAAAACACACGTGTGAATATCCCGGCGATAAAATACATAAAGCTCCACCGAGCTATCGTCACCTCTACATGAAAACAATCATACACAAATACATGGGGGGCAGAGGGAATAATTATACAAGGACTGATGAGGGGATATGAACCAGGTGTGTGTAAAAACAAGACAAAACAAATGGAATGATGAGATGAGGAGCGGCAGTGGCAAGAAGGCCAGTGACGACGAACGTTGAAGCCTGCCCGAACAAGGATAGGAGGCAGCTACGGAGGAAGTCGTGACAAGTGTTAAGATATCCCTTCACTGGAACTAAGTGGCCTAGCCCGAACCGTGAAAAACAGCCCCAGACCATTATTCCTCCTCCACCAAACTGTACAGTTGGCACTATACATCCGGGCAGGTAGCGTTCTCCTGGAATCTGCCAAAACCAGATTTGTCCGTCGGACTGCCAGATGGTGAAGTGTCTTTCCACTGCTCCTGAGTCAAATAGCAGCGAGCTTTACACCACTCCAGCCGACGCTTTGCATTGCGCATGGTGATCTTAGGCTTGTGTGCGGTTGATCGACCATGGAAACCCATTTCATGAAGCTCCCTATTAACAGTTATTGTGCTGACGTTGCTTCCAGAAGCAGTTTGGAACTCGGTAGTGAGTGTTGCAATCAAGGACAGACAATTTTTACGCGCTACGCGTTACAATATGCCATTTAGCAGACGCTTTTATCCAAAGCGACTTACAGTCATGCGTGCATACATTTTTGTGTATGGGTGGTCCCGGGGATCGAACCCACTACCTTGGCGTTACAAGCGCCGTGCTCTACCAGCTGAGCTACAGCACTCAGCAGTCCCATTCTGTGAGCTTGTGTGGCCTAATACTTCGCAGCTGAGCCGTTGTTGCTCCTAGACATTTCCACTTCACAATAACAGCACTTACAGTTGACCGGGGCAGCTTTAGCAGGGCAGAAATCTGACGAACTGACTTGTTGGAAAGGTGGCATCCTATGACGGTGCCACGTTGAAAGTCACTGAGCTCTTCAGTAAGGCCATTCTACTGCCAATGTTTGTCTATGGAGATTGCATGGCGGTGTGCTCGATTTTCTACACCTGTCAGCAATGGGTGTTACTAAAATAGCCGAATCCACTAATTTGAAGGGGTGTCCACGTACCTTTTGTATATATCGTGTAACTTTTTCTTGAAAAGGGCGAACCTATACGGTCATCTGTAGCTCAATTGGTAGAGCATGGCGCTTGTAACGCCAGGGTAATGGGTTCGATCCCCGGGACCACCCATACGTAAAAATGTATTAGCACATGACTGTAAGTCGCTTTGGATAAAAGCGTCTGCTAAATGGAATATTATTATTATTATACGAAGGTTAAAGTTATCCGTCACTGCGACAGAGTTCCCTCATATGGATTCTGGAGAGGTTGTTTTTGAGATCACTGTAGATCCGCAATAAAACTCTCTCTGTGTGATGAAGGGAATTAAACAGTCTATAATGTGCACCACTGCAGCGCTCAACTCAAACAGTGGTGTGTAAACTACTGTTGCTGCTGGCAAAGTAAAGGTCTCTTAAAGGGACAATGGCGTCTTAAAATGGCAATGACATACTTTGTAATAGAAACCAAAATAAGCAATTTTTTTGGGTGAATAATAATTAATAATTATTATTATAAGAACGCTTATTGCCAATGGCACATCTGATACTATAGACTCCTCAAACTTAACTCTAGACCTCGAAGCCAGTTTTAGTGCGTTTTTTCATTCTTTCCCTCTAATCGGGGACTAATGTAGACCTGGGTGCAATTCATTATCAGGTAGAACAGAAACCAGCAGGCTCTGGACCTGGTAGGGTAAGAGTTAAATACCCCTGATCTAGACCATGCATAGGCTATTTGCATGGTCCAATATGTAAAAAATAATTGTTTACCAATATGTTATTGGACTCATTTGTGGAGCTGGAAATTATATTTTATATGGTGTCAGCATCATTTTATTTTCATTCAATGTATCTTTTTCCCTAAAAGTATGATGGTCATTACTTTTTTAATGAAATGGGAGGTTAACTTGGTCCCGCAGACAATCGATCTGAGATCGACTTAAATTTCAGTCATGGGATTTATTTTAGTTTTAATCCCTGTAACTAATTAGCAACAACCTCCTTTC